GACTCAAATAATATAGAAGGAGAAACATTAAATCCATGTTTAGCTGAGAGAAGGGGGAAGGAAGCATGGGTGGAGGGAGAGTCATACCAGTTCTTCAATATGCTTAAGTGCATGAGTAATCAAATGCAGACCCTTTTGAGGAACTAGTCTAGTAATACAGACTACCAATGGGATCTTAACTGTTGCATCTGGCACATGATTACTGCTGGTGATGCTTTTAGCAGCCAAACCAAGCCCCCTTTGTACGTAGTATTTACACAACTTCTTGCCCTCAATTTTTTGAGCTGTTAGAAACAAAACAGCAATATGTAAAAGTTGGAATGAATATCTAAAATTCATATGTTAACTTTGCGTGATTATGATGTGAATTGAAGCAGGGCAGGTTGAATAATTAGATGAAAGTAGATGCTGAATGTGAAAGACAACAACACTTTCCAAGCAGTTAATGTATGAACATTCATATATTGATTCCTTTTGCTACTATATGTTTATGAAGATATCTCGAAATGATACATTTATTGGAAAACAAGCAGCCTGCGGTTATCGACAGACTGTTCATACAAAATAATTGTGTGAACCAAAAAATATAACAGAGTATAGGTTCTACAGACGTAGCTGTATCAGATCAAAACTGCGTCAATAAAAGTATTGGACTGCTTCCAGGTTCTTTTCAAAGGACATATATAGAGACAGTTTTAACAGAGAGAGGTTTAAGTTGATCACTAGTTTACCATGGAACTTAGCTGGCAAGAAAACATCGGTAGCAGGGTTCCACATTGCAGTGTCAATCCCATTCAAAACACCAAAGTACCTGCAGAATTGCACCCACATTGGAAGATAGATAGAATCATAAACCAGGCAGACAATTTTGCATCAACGTTAGTAATGTTCAATAAGGCATTTACTGCAGCATAGTTATCGAATCACAAGTTCCTATAGCTAAAAAGTGAGAAGATAGTTGATTTGATTACGCTGAAGGAATAAACAGCTAAGAAAAAGAAGTTTTAAATCATGAATTGCTTATAATAAAGTGGAACCTACTTATCACAATGCATCATTAGAGTGCTGGCCAACCAACCAGAGCAGAGAGTTTCCTTAAGGTATGTTGGCGAGACTGTACTGGAAATAGAAAAGAAAATTAGTTTCTTGGAAATAAAATAGACTTAAAGGGTAGTGCTGGATTCTATGCTTGTAATGGTTGTAAATGTGGGTGCATCAGATTCAGTGATATGCATCATGTAAACAAATAAATTCACATCTAAAACATTTCATGCAGGAGTTAAAACTCACTTTCTGTCAGCATTCAAATCATAATTTATGAAGAATTTAAATAAGGTTCTTAATACATATATTTTATCCAAATTTAAATGTTTTCTAACCCCGGTGAATATGAGGATTCAATTTTCATAACTTTAAAATTCAAATTTCCCACTTTGGTGTTGATTGATGGTGATCCAAACTTGGATCACTATTTGATTAGTTCCAATCGACTAATTGGAGCATCAAATTATTCTCAAGAAACTGAGTATATATTCATAAAATGAAAAAAAAAAAGAGAAGCTATTAACAAAATAAGACTGCCTGACAACATGTCTTTATCCATTAGAATAAGAAGTCAAGAAATATAATGAGTGTAATGCAACACTAGTTTGCCAAAGAGCAAAACCCTTTACAAACGAGGAATGAAAATCAACTTCAGGTATAGGCTATTTACAGTTCTTCACATGCAACTTTAGACCAAATGACACCATATCAAGAACGAACCTTTTGCAGACAAAACAACAAAACTACTTACACCACTGCATTGCTGTATACAATTCCACCTTTCAATAAGCTTAGTCTCTCAGGATTATGGCCTATAGTCCGATCATCAACTGCCTGACATGTTGAGAGATATTAGAATAAGTTTTGGGAATTGGCAGTATTTCTAGTAATTGAATGACTTTTGGTGAGAAAAAGGATACACCACCTACAGATTCCTATAAAAAAAGGAGCCCCAAAGGATCTTGATTGTGAATTTAATTCCTCGCCATATCTTTCTATGTGTTCAATGCTAATGAAAAGACATATAAATGCCACATGCTAATTCTTTCAGAGGAAATATAAATTCCAATTTTTTTAGGATGTTAATAAAATGTCTCCGCAGCATCAGATATTTGCTATATATATATATATATAAATACACACCTTCTCCGCTGTTGCATACATAGAACCATCAAGACCACACTTGCTGAGTTGCTCTTGGCTGCCAAAGCAAAGAAACCACAATGTTTTTATGCAATGTTCAATTTGATCTGCTAGGATTAACACACCAAAAGGCCCATATAGTGAGCAACTGATACTGTTGAACAGGCTGTGAGAAATTTAAACTTACGACGGTAAAAAAGACAGGAAAATAATAACTTACCGGCACTCTCCAAAATGCTCCATGTTATGTATAGTTAATACAATCCGTGGTTTCTAGAAAGTACAATTTTGACATCACTGACACTAAATCAGAGCATTAAATTCTGAAGAGTTACTAATAAGAAGAGTAAATACCTTCAGTGAAAGATATTGATACATATCCCAGTAAAGCAGGGGCAAGGCACCTATTTGCCATTCATGGACATGGATAATGTCAGGCTGAGCACCTGTTACCTGTCACCATATTCTATCTTGTCAGAAATTTCAAAAAAAGAGCTTGTTAAGGACTAAAGGATAACAATGATATGAACTGGGAAACAAAGGTCTGCAAAAGATGCTGAACAGAAATGGAGTGACAAAATTACGCGAACTTTTGAAGCTGAAGGGGTAAGTGCAGATGCTGGTGTAATTTTCTTCAACATTATGTCAATGACTTAAAAAACAACTGCAAGTTGTAAATCATATATGTTCTTTATAGTCTGAGCATGCTTTAGTTATACAAACTCTAACCCTTGATCCCTCAACCTTCTATTTCCAATTTAGTGTAAGCTTACTCGAACTTCTAAGAATCGGAAGTCAAGTCAAAGGAAAAACCAAGATCATATTGAGGATCAACCTACAAACCTGCATCCATTCAAGGCAAGCACGGCTAAAAAACAAATAAGCCTCTAGCTCATTATATGAACCGCCGTATACTTGTTGCCCCTTGAAGAATTCATTTGATGGCTCAATAAATATCACTGGAATGCCCGAAACAACTCCACGATAGGCATTAGTAGGAATCCAATTCCCATCATGATAAGAATCATAAGTACTGATCAATGCCAAGTCACTGATTTGCTGCTTCTGAATGCACTCATAGAAGGGGAGCACTATATCCACTGTATGGCCACGAGAAAGACTTGCTCGAGCAAGTCCAGTAACAACATCACCAAGTCCACCAACTTTAGCTATTGGTGCCATCTCAGCTGTGACATGAATTATGTGCATAAGATCAGAATCCTTGACAGAACTTTCATATGGCACTTCTGGACTCACATTCCATGAAGGGAAATCCCTCTTCCAAAATGGGATTTCATCATCGGGAGAAGGCCAGACAATTTCTTGATCAGAAACTAAACCTGCATAACTACTTTCTTGTATTTCAACACCACCCGCCTGCAGAAAATAGTAGAACTCTGTTTCAAGAACATGCATCCTAAAGATCCCAATTCTTGCATGAAATTTTGAAACTTCTATGTGTTTAAAGTACAAACTATACACGAAAAGCTAAAGATGGGAAGAGTCGTACCTCTAAATTGGGGAGATGAAGGGGATGAGAAACAAGGGGATGAATCTTGAATTTGGAAGGATAGCAGAACTTGTGGGAGGTGCCAATTCCCTTCCTTTTCTGCAGTACCAATGTTGCTTTTCTTGAATTCAAATGGAAGCATGGCTTAAGAAACTTACCTGCTAATGCATTCTCCATTATCATTTCATGGACAGTCAGCAACAAGAAGCAAGAATCTGTTATGAGACAGAAACCCTTTTTTGCCTATCAAATGTTATGGGCGCATAAAGAGGGAAAGAAAAAGTAACAACGTGAGGAAATCTAGAAGTGGAAATGATGAATACAGAGTATAATTCCAGATCCCAACAAGATGGTCACTTAAATATCTTGTCAGTACTTCTTCTTCTTCTTCTTCTGTCTTGTTTTGTGCTGGAGATTTTGTGAAAAAAACCACAGTACTGCTACCCTCAAAAGTGACATCTATCTTTTAGGGATAGTCCTTTTAAGATAATATATTTTAAAAATTATTTTATACATTAGCCCATGAAATCCATTACTCGTTCAAAGTACTACCTGAACCTTTTATTATTGTACCAAGGACCTCTAGGAAGTTCAAAGAAAGTTTTGATGGTAAAAGCCCTTTGTTTTTGTGTTTTCAACAAGTTTTCAAGAAATTGATTTTTTTACTTTTTTTTTTAATTTTTAAAATTAATTTTTTTATATTTTTTATATGCTAATATAAAAATTAAATTTTAAAAAATAAAAAAAAATTATTTTAATATATTTTTAAAAAATAATACTTCAAAACATAACTATTACTTAATGCCAAATTAACTCTAAGTTTCAATTTAATATATGATGAATTTTTTTTATTATATAAATAATTATAAATTTTTTTTTATAAAAATAGTATAATTACTTCAAATTGAATAACAAATTAAATAAATAAATTTTTTATTTATTAGAAAAATACTAGTAATATCCATGATATTACATAATTGTTGTTCTATTTAGTAGTATAATTTTAAGTTTTTTTTATTAAAGGTTTGTTTGGTAGCATGGTAAGTCAAAATTATATTTTACTAATTGTGGTTTTAAAAATATCCAATTAATCAATATACATCATTTTCCTCGAATCGAATCTTTAAAGTGTCAATTGATACTTAAATAAATAAAAAATGTTGCGTTATGCTGACCAACAGATACGGATTAGAAGGGTATGAATGAAACTTCTAACACCTAACGGAGTGATTAGTAAAACTATTGGAAGTAAATCAAATTAACCCCCCAAAAATTATTCATATAAATAAAATTTCCGGGCGACTGCATCGAGTCGTCCGAAGTCCAAACCATTTCTATTACCGGGTCAGATCAAAACCCGTTTCAACTTCTTCCAAGCTCTCTGACTCTGCTTGTTTTTCCCGTTTCTCCAAGAAGAATATTCAAATTTAGTAGCACAAAACCTGAAACATTAACAATCATGGCGGTAATCATCTACTCTCTCTCTCAATTTCTTCTCTAATCCTCCACATTTTCCGCTAATCATTCTAATTTTCCTTCTCTTTTAGGATTCTTCGTCGGGGACGACGTTGATGGATCTGATAACAGCGGACCCTGGGCCGGCTCCGAAGTCATCGGGATCCGCGGAAGCGCCAACTCCTCCGGCATCGCAGCAACCGACTGGATCGATGTCATATTCCACGCCGATGACGACGACGGCAAGTTCGTCCTCGGTGTCAGGGAAGACAGTGTTAGGAGAGAGAAAGTCTAAGAGAGCTACACTTATGCAGATCCAAAACGACACCATTTCTGCTGCTAAAGCTGCCATGAAAACTACTGCTGGTATCAATATCATGCCTCAAAAACAAAAGAAGAATGTAACCTACCCTAACCTAAGCTTCCTTCTCTGAAATCTCTCTAGAGATTCTGTTTCTTTCTTTAATTTGATTTTTCTTGATTTTTGTAGCCGGTTTCGTATTCGCAACTAGCTAGGAGTATTCATGAACTAGCTGCTACATCTGATCAAGTAAATCTTGATTTTCTTCTCTATATATTTGTTTTGCTGTTCTTTTTGTTATTTTTTATGGGAATTTAAGTATTTTTTCCTGAATTTACAGAAAAGTTCTCAAAAGCAACTAGTGCATCATGTGTTTCCGAAACTTGCTGTTTACAATTCAGTCGATCCGTCATTGGCACCGTCTCTTCTCATGGTATGCTTCCACATTATATGTTTGAAGAAATTTTATACCGTTAATTTTGAAGAAATGATAGTTAATATGTTTGAATCTGCTACAGCTGGATCAGCAATGTGAAGACAGGACGATTCTGCGCTATGTGTATTATTACTTGGCTAGGATTTTATCAGATACTAGTTCTCAAGGTTTAAATCCAGGTGGTGGAATACCGACTCCTAATTGGGATGCTTTGGCTGATATTGATGCTGTTGGAGGGGTGACTAGAGCTGATGTTGTACCAAGGATTGTAGATCAGCTTTCTAAAGAGGCTTCAGATGCTAGTGTTGAATGTAAAGTGGTTTCTTACTGTTTTTCTTTCATTAATTGTTTTAATGCTCTGTGCTGTACAAGGTGGTTCTTAATAAAAAAAATGGTTTGCAAAATCTTTTTTCCAAGTTGCATGCAAAGGATGAAGCTGAATTTAACTGTGCTTGATAAATTGTTTGAATGCTTTATGCTGTTTGATAAGAATTCGTGAAGTTTTTTCCTGTTACAATGGGCTCTAATTTTGAATGTTGGATCTTTGAAATATGTCTCATTAGTTCACATAATTCAAGTGATTTTGATTTAGGATATAAAAATGGCAGCATTATGTTCACATCAAGTCCCAATGCTTTGTGAACTTTCTGTTTTGTATTTTCTATGGATGAATTTGCTGGTGCCTTGGGATTTATCTGCGATCAGTAATTTGCTAATTTCATGCAATCAACCATGTGGATGATATTGAAATGCATGCAAGAGATATATTTTGCATGAGGCTATTCTGTGGGAACTTTTATTTTTATTGATAGAGTGAAACAAGGATCTACAAGGGAAAAAATGATTAATGTGCCATACAAAAGAATAGTTATTTTTCAAGTACAGTACCTGTTTATAGAAAAATTTTCTCCTTTGAAATTGTAAGGTTTAGATTTTGATTTAAATTTATCTTGTATCTTTGAAGTTCATGCACGTAGATTGCAAGCATTGAAGGCTCTTACATATGCTCCCGAAAGCAACACTGGTATTTTATCCAGATTGTATGAGATTGTATTTGGCATTCTTGACAAGGTTTGCCTTGCTCTAAATTTCTTCCATTTATGTTTCAACAAAGAATACTGCGTTGTCCTTTCTTTTTATTAATGGTAAAAATAAAAATAGAACTCTAGTTTGCTCTGCACATGTATCCTTTGTGACTGTGTATAAACTAAAAAATTATTAAAATTTAATAACTCCTCTTCATTAGTAAAGCTGTTTGGAATGCCAAGATTTATCTTCTAAAAGCCTTGGTAGATTTGCGAGTAGAATCCTCCCCTTAAATACTCATTGGTTTCTCTCCTTCCAAAAAACTTCAAGGATCGCAAAAAAATTACAGAATTACTGATATCTTTTGTCTATACAAAAGCAGCCTCTATACATTTAGCTCCTCAACAATTGAAGCTGCCATAAACCAATGGAAGTACAGTTTTCTTGCAGCTTAAGTTGCCTAATGATAATTCCATGACTCTTCTCAACACTAGGATATTATGAAATTTAAAGAAAGCACCCAAAGGAAGGTCTAACTGTTTAAACTGGTCTGATCCTGCTCTAACATTTATGGTTACGATAAGTTTACAAACGTGTGTCAAGTCTTTTTTGGAAAAGATGCCATATAATGTTAATTTTCGTAAAAAATATCTCTGTAGTTACTGGAATGAATCTCTGTTGTACTGGTGTAAGTTACAAATATTTGTCTTCATTTGTTAACAAAAGATGAGGCCCTGCAATGTTTACTGGAAAGTATGGTTGTAACTTAATTACTTGTTCAGGGTGTCAATTTCTGTGTTTTGTCACTATTTATCAAATTCTGGTGATTGTTGCTGAGTTTTTGAAATTACAAAGTTGTATTGTTTCTTCTCACATTTCTGGTTTCATGGAGGTTTTTCAAAGCTTGACATTCACTCAATCAAACAAGCATCCTGGCTACAATAATTCTTGAGATTTCATATTGAATTTCAGGTTGGTGACAACCCTCAAAAACGAAAGAAAGGTGTTTTTGGGACTAAAGGTGGTGATAAGGAGGTAAAAATATCAACTTATCGGTGGTATTATCAGTAAAGTTCCCAATTTCTTATAAAATGTTATTGCTGCATAACCTTCACAGTGATAATCTGTCTCTTGTTAATGATATTTAGAGCTACTTAAAATTGAGAGCTTGTACATTGACTGCTCATGTAGTATTGCCTTGAGTAAATTTAGGAGTCATACATGTTGGGGAATGTTAATGTTCTAATGAAGCAAAACATCTAACTTAGCCCTTGTGCAGAGACATCATCGATATTATATTTGATATTATGATTAATGTTAAAGAGAGTTTTTCAGTGAAAATAGTGAATTTGTTACCACAAACTTAGGGAGAGTTTATGAAGTTTGTTTAACTATTCAAATGCACAGGTTTTATATTCTCAATTTGTTTCCTTAACAGGATTTGCTGTGGCACTTTTTTTTTTGAAGTCTGTTTGACTCTATGAAGTGCCAATTCATTCCCTCATCTTAATCTTTTTATTTTGCCTGTGTTTCCTCTGTAGAATTATCCCATGATTATGAGTCATGTTCTTGAAATATTATACTTCATTTTGTATGTTTGCTTGTTTGCTTATTATACTTGTTTAAATGATTGCTACATATCAGTCTATTGTTCGGAGTAATTTGCAATATGCTGCACTAAGTGCATTAAGAAGACTCCCTCTTGATCCTGGAAACCCAGCATTTCTGCACCGTGCTGTACAGGGGTAAGTTTTCTTATTCTAGTGCATAGATTTAGGTTCATATTGATGATTGCTGTTTCTTTGGTTACTTAGCTTTTGTTTTGTTAGGTTTGGTTGTTATGTTTGGCTTGACTTGCTTCTTCTGTTTTTGGTATTTTGTGCCTGCAGTCCCGTAGTACAGATAGTTTCCCATTCTCCACCTCTCCAATTTGCACTTGTATGTTGTATGCGTATCCTGGCTTCACTGATTAGCCTAGATAGTCCTTGTATTTAGAATCCTTTTAGTCTTGCATTGAGCAGCAGGAACGGTGTATACTCACTATTGTTAAGAAGAAGCTGGATGCTGCGACTAGAGTATTCAATCTTCTAACTCACTATTGTTAAGAAGAAGCTGGATGCTGTGACTAGAGTATTCAATCTTCTAATGCAAGATATCGTGAGATAATAAATACATGATCCGTTCTTACTTTTGATATAATACTATTGTTTCAGTTATTATATTCACTCGCCAATCCCTTTTTTTCTTCTTGTCCTCCTTGCACTTCAGACACCTAGAAGAAGCATCTTCCACATATTGGCTAGTCTTTTTCTTATTAATATATGCAGCTAGCTTGTGTTTGACTGCAGGGTTTCATTTGCTGATCCTGTTGCTGTAAGGCATGCTTTGGAAATTCTCTCTGAGTTGGCAGCAAAAGACCCTTATGGAGTTGCAATGGCTTTAGGTAACATTTTACTTTTAACTTTCTCATTCTCACCTTTCTTTTCATCATGAAACTATTTCATATCGTGTTAATATCCTAGAACTAAGATTGGCTGTTCTTTTTTATCTAATGCTATACCTCTGCATCTTTCTGCAGGAAAGCTTGTAGTCCCTGGAGGTAAGGTCCCTTCTCTTATTTGTGCTTATAATCTGCTTCTGCTTCTATGATCACCGATTGTTATCTGCACCAGGGCTCAAGTGACATAACCTTGTTAGATGTTCAATTCTTTCAACTAAAACTGAAACTGAATGAAAAATAGTAGGTTGTTTGATTGAAAGATTAGTTGTGAAATTGTGTGAACAGTGACTCATTTTTGTAACACATTATAATTATGAGTTACAATGCAAGACATAAATACCTTTGTCTATTCAGGTTTTTGGTTCTAGGATGGTTCTATTTGCAAGTTATATGGCATTGTTGAGTAGCTTAATCTCTATCACGTGACTGCTTTTCTGGTTTCTGTTTAAGTTGTTGGTGTTATTTGAATCAGGGGCATTGCAGGATGTTCTTCATTTGCATGATGTGCTTGCTAGAGTTTCGCTGGCCAGGTTGTGTCATACAATATCTAGAGCTCGTGCATTAGATGGTAAATGCAGTTTGCATTTCTCACTAATTTTGAAGGAAAAATCCTGAATTAATGAGATGATTAGCTTCTTGACCTGGTTTCCTGCAGAGAGGCCTGACATTAAATCTCAGTTCAACTCAGTGCTTTATCAACTTCTCCTAGATCCCAGTGAAAGAGTCTGTTTTGAGGCAATCTTTTGTGTCTTGGGAAAACACGACAATACAGAGAGGTAGTTTTTTAATCTTATATCTTTTTTCATTTTTATTTGTGTAACATTTTACTCGTGTTGTAACTAAGTTTTGTTGGCATGGGATGGAATCAGGATGCAATTATATCCTCTCTTTTTTCCCTCTAAAATATTCTTATTGTGTATTCCAATGCTATAGGACTGAGGAGCGTGCTGCTGGCTGGTACCGTTTAACAAGGGAGATACTGAAGTTGCCAGAAGCACCCTCTCTATCATCGAAGGGATCTAGTGCTGATTCAAATGATATGTCAAAGGCTTCTAAAGATAAATCCCACAAGACTAGGCGTCCACAACCTCTTATTAAACTTGTAATGAGAAGGTAGATTTAGCTCCCAATTCTTTCCTTCTCTTCTACTTTATCCTTTTCTTTTTCAGGGTATTGTAATCTGTGAGACTTATTATTTCTTTTGAAAATTCTTTAACATGTTCGAACTATGATGCAACTTATTAGTTGGTTTCTTTTTCTTCTCATTTTCATTTGTTTTTGAAAACTGATTCCTTCCCCCCCCCCCCCTTTTTTTTGTTGGTTTAGGTTGGAAAGTTCTTTTCGTAATTTCTCCAGGCCAGTACTTCATGCAGCAGCAAGAGTTGTGCAGGAGATGGGAAAAAGTCGCGCTGCTGCATATGCTGTAGGCTTACAGGACATTGATGAAGGAGTTAATATGCATTCATTTTCTGACAGTGCAGATCCAGTCGATTCGGATTTTAATGAAAATCCATATGCAGATGGTAATTTTTTGATAGTCAAACTAATTTTTTTTTTAAAATAAAATTTAGGAAGATCCTTGATCATCTAACTATTAAGTTGTTACTTTCATGGCATTATTGTTGTGCTCCATTGGTGGTGCCTGAAGCAAATTTGTTTAGAATTTTCATTCTCTGTTGACTTGAAAAGAAATATTATCCATCAACATCTTGTGTAGCCTTTTACAATCACCATCTTTTGGATTGCTTAAGAAGCATTTATCTACATGAGAGTGGGATTCTGTGTCAATGCATATGCATATAACTTGTGTAACACACAAACCCGATGAAATTGTTAAATGAATTTGCATCATGTGTTTTAAAAGTGTGTCATATAAAATTGGTCTTATTTTCCTTGTTTCATTGTGTGTGTGAAGTGCCAATTATAAATTTTTCTCTTTTCTTTTCTCACGATTCTTCCATCATTCTATATGTAGTGGCTGTGAATTTGAAATGTAGAGGCCAATGTTTTGTGCAATGATATAACTTTTCAACTTTGCAAATGGCAACCTCAAAAGTGCAGGCTTGAGTCTCAAGATGAACTTCTGAATAAAGCTGAAGTACATGATTGCTCAAATTCTTCCTCTTAAGAACTCAACTGCATTGGTCTTTTTGTTATTTTAAGCTGTCATCCTCTTGCAAGTAAAAAATCCCTGAGTTCATTTAGTGGGTTTAGGGTTCCCACAAGTTTCAGAGAAATTTAGTGCTGCTAGTTTTCTATTATCAGGGTTACTCATTCTGTTCAAATATCTTCCTTGGGACATATGTCGTTTGAATAATGGATCATTATCTGATTGTAGTCTTTCTCCTTCCATCCTCCCCTTGTTTTGTTTTATAGGTGCCCGGAAGGTCTCTGCTGTATCCAGTGCAACAGGTAGCAAGGATACAATTGCAGGTTTATTAGCTTCATTGATGGAGGTGGTTCGGACAACTGTAGCCTGTGAATGTGTCTATGTTCGAGCAATGGTAATCAAGGCTTTGATATGGATGCAACTTCCACATGAATCTTTTGAGGAATTGGAATCCATTATCGCATCCGAGCTTTCTGATCCATCATGGCCAGCAACATTGTTGAATGATGTTTTGCTGACTTTACATGCTCGTTTCAAGGTATGCTATATATTGAATTATGTTATACTATCTTGAAAGCACGGCATATTTATTTGGAGCTCATGCTTTGATATGCCTTTGATGATCATTAGTTTTTCCCTTTTGATAAGTTTGTGTAGGCTAAACTCTTCTACCATGGGAGCTTTGTGAAGGTAAAGAAGGTTGATGAGTGATAAATAGGTTATGAGTTATTGGTAAATATATAAATTAAAGACAAATCACTAGCTTTAAGAGTGCTTGTAAAAACACACAAATAAATTCAAATCAATCATTCACATGACAAATAAAATTCTTGTTGAAAACTGAAAAGAGTTGTCACTTGGTTAAATGGTGTTCCTTAACAAGGATACCTTACAAAACCTAACAAGCTAATGGGATTATCTATACTTGGTAAAAAAAAAAAAATGAAGGAAAGAATCAGAAAGAAGAAAACATAACGAGCTTCAACATGTCATGGATGGATACGTTCCACATAAGTTTGAAATTTTCTCCACGTTACTAACTATCTACGTTACTAAATTGTACTGTACATTTCCAATAAAATCATCTGACTCTACTCTGTTATCTGGAAAGGTGGTGTTGCTTCAACTAGAGGCATGTTCTACTGTAACATGCCATGGCAGTCTAATTGCATGATTGAGCTTTCTATTTTTATTTTTAATAAGGGCTCTATGACTTTTCTGCTATTTGCTTGCTCAGTTTGGATCCTTGTTAATATTTTGTGCTGTTTGGTTTAAATTGCTTCTTCAGCATGTAAGATTGTCAGAAACACATCTTTCCAAGCTCTTTTAAAAATTTCTAGTCATTTTAACACACAAATCAGAACTTAAGAAGAAACAATGGGGATAGCAATGACATAATACAGCATAATTTTCAAATCTCTATACACCTTCCAGTTTCTAACCAAGGAAAAGTGAATAGAGTACATAAAGAATGGCTAGAGATTAGAGACCAGTGATGGAGATGATACCCTGTTTTTCCATGCCAGAGATACAAATGGAATCTGGTCAGTGATTCCAGTGCCGACATTGTATATATATAACATTTGAGCTCTATGAATGTGATAGAAAATGCAGAGGCTGTTGTTGGAGTGGATGGGTTAGCCTAGCTATACTATTTCTCTCCCTTTATTTAACATGCATATTCTAAATCAAAAGCAACTAATAACAATGATAAATCAGTCAAGATCTCTTTTTAGTTATGAAAACTATCATTTTCATTAAGATCCCTAAGAATTCATAGTCATAGTAGGTTACAGTTTTGATGATTTTCTTGTCTTCTGTCCTGCTCCCCCCCCCCCCCCCCCCAACCAGCTATGTTTGATTATGACAGGGGAAATAGTAGATAGAATAGGTAGTCCGCATATTTCTCTCTGGATATTGGATAGATACCTGAGCTTAGTTTATCACTACTTTTATTGTTTATGCCAATGAGAGATGCTTAGATAGTGAATCGCTCCTGCACATTCCATTGTCAAAAATGGAAACAGAGATTCAGTGCATCAACTAACAATGTTTTAATGTGTCTCATCCCATGAAACTTCACTTGCTATAACTTCTCTTGCTCAGGCAACACCAGATATGGCTGTCACCCTGCTTGAAATTGCGAGGATCTTCGCTACTAAGGTTCCAGGAAAGATTGATGCTGATGTGTTGCAGCTTTTGTGGAAAGTAAGATTCCATTCAACCCTTGATCTCTCTGATACTTTATGATTTCTTTTTTTGGTTGGTTTTCAATGTCCATTTTGAATTTTGTCTTGTTGTCTCTGCTCCTTGCATGTTCAGTAACTTATGAAGTGTCTCCAACTTGTTTGAGGTTAATCTGCTTGATATGTTGATAATGATTAAGTAAATCACTGATAGATTTGCTTAAAGAAAACACTAATGTTAACTGATGGCTGCCTGCTCCATTTCTAGACGTGCCTTGTCGGTGCTGGTCCTGATGGGAAGCACACAGCATTGGAAGCAGTCACTATAGTCCTTGACCTCCCACCACCACAGCCTGGGTCGATGTTGGGGCTTACATCAGTGGACAGGGTATCTGCATCTGATCCGAAGTCAGCTTTGGCATTGCAGAGATTAGTCCAAGCAGCGGTAAGCAACTTTCTTTAGTCAACAATTGTATATTGTTCTACTGTTAATCTAAATGAATACTAGGGAATATATTTCTTTCTTTTTATCTGAATCTGTGAACTGAAAAAACCTATAGGTGTGGTTCCTTGGAGAAAATGCAAATTATGCTGCTTCCGAATATGCTTGGGAATCTGCAACGCCTCCTGGCACTGCATTGATGATGTTAGATGCAGATAAAATGGTTGCTGCTGCCAGTTCTCGTAATCCTACTCTAGCTGGTGCTTTGACTCGACTACAGAGGTGTGCTTTCAGTGGCAGCTGGGAGGTATAAGTTTCCACCATGATGATCATTCATTATTATAGTTATACTGTTGGTAGCTTGGGTCAACGGTGAAATTATTGTCCTTTAGGTGCATAGATATGTGATTGTACTAAAACAAGTAAGAGAGAACAGCCAGCTTCCCTATACAATTTAGTACTCTGTGAAGAGATGAACATACACACATGCCCTTTTCTTCTAGCACCATCACATATTTTAGTGATTGAAGGTATAATCCGTAAGAGTCTTTTATGAGCTTGGTACCCCTTTGAATTTTTGGGTCTGTATAGCACAAAGTTAAACAGCACCTTCTATCAGCTATCTTTTGTGTATCAGATAACCCCCTCCAAATGGTGTGGCATTAGTTTTTGCATGCCAAAGTTCTTTATGAGAAGAAGGACTTAGGCTGTAGTACTAAAGCCTAGGCTGACACAAATGCACACAGAAAAATAAAGAAGGATGTGTCATGGAATAGCAGGTTGTATTGATGCATTTATTTTTTTAGTATGTTGCTTCTTCCCCTTCCATATTATATTTTATTATGGTTTTTTAGCACCTCTGCCAGTCTTGTATTGTTTTGTCTAGGAACTAAGAGTACAAACAAAAGAGACAAGAGAGTACTAAATTTTAGATAGTGTACTATATTTATTTGTCTCTGCATGTGATTGAGCATGTCCCTTGAACTTCAAAATTATTAACGAAAAAACTAAAGGAGGAGGGGTTGTATTGCCCCTCTTCACTCATGACTTGGGTCATAAGTTTGGTTGGTTAATCCTGGTTGACTCAAGTTATTTTTTTGGTCATTTTTTTTTTCAAATTCATCTTTCAACATTCAGTTGATTTGAGAATTAGGTTTTATAATTTGTTTCAACTTGTTTCTATTAGGTTGTTCCAGTCTCATGATCTAGTTATAAATTTGGTTGGTTAACCCAAGTTGACTTGGGTTGTTTTATTTTTTTAAATCAATTTTTTTTTTTAGTTTTATCCTTTAATATTGGGTTTATTAGAAATTGAGCTTTGTAATTTGTTTTGATTTTTTTTTATGAGATTATCGTGATCTTATGATTTGATGCGGATTGACAGGTTAACCCTGTGTGACCTGAATCGGTTCAATATGTAGTCCTAATTTTTATTAAAAAGATTTCATCTTAAATACTTATTTTTAGTCAAATTATGTTTTTACTGGTTATTTAAGTTGTCTTTGGACCCGGTAAGGCAACTAAGTCACATTAGATCAATTTTTATATGATTTTAAGTTTTTTTTTTTCTATTAGAAAAAAATCAACAATGCCTAAATTTTTTTTTTATGATTAAAAAATATTTAATTCGACCTGTAACATAATGCAGGCTAATGATCTAGTTAAGTACTAAATCGCTAGGGATAAAATGATTGATATCAACAAATTAGGGCTGCTTTCGTCATTCATCTTCTCTTTTTCAGTACTGAAAATTCTGTTTTCTTAACTAGGTTTCAGTATGTATTTCCACCGCTGCCAATTTTAACTGGCACCTCTCATGGTGATTGTCATTTATGTTCTAGACCAGAATGTGCACAGTGCTTAGTACTGGTTTTTATTATCTTTACCAGAACTTATCCATGCACTGTGACTCTCTTTTACTTCATTTTAGGTATCCCAACCTACCTTCTTGAAATGATTGTTCTCGAGTCTTGACATTTTAGAATGGCGTGCCTCATTTTGTTACGGTCTTCCTTTTCCTTGCACTAAGGTTTTACAAGACCTTTGTATTTAAATGTGCCTTAAGCTTTCTACTACAAATATAGCTGCTTGCTTAAATTTCCACTTCCCTTATTTGTTTCAATCTGTGAGAAAACTCCAGGTTCGGATTGTTGCTGCTCAAGCCCTCACAACTATGGCAATCAGGTCTGGTGAGCCCTTTAGGCTACAGATCTATGAATTTTTAAATGCTTTAGCACAGGGTGGAGTGCAGTCCCAGCTCTCAGAAATGCATCTTAGTAATGGGGAAGATCAAGGAGCCAGCGGTACAGGCCTTGGAGTCTTAATAAGTCCCATGGTAAAGGTCCTTGATGAAATGTATAGAGCACAAGATGAACTGATCAGGTAAGAACCAAACCTTGTCCCCTTGTTTCCTCTGTCATTATCTATATTAACACTTTTCCAATTTCACCATGTTCCAGAGATATAAGAAACCATGACAATACAAATAAAGAATGGACAGATGAAGAACTGAAGAAACTTTATGAAACGCATGAGAGATTGTTAGATATTGTTTCATTGTTTTGTTATGTTCCAAGAGCAAAGTATCTACCTTTGGGACCAATAAGGTACATATTTACTGCCAAGGTCTTTCATTTGACTTTATCAGAATGACTGGTGTGTTTTTTCTGTGGAACGAGGTGAGCACCCATGATTTAGTGCGTGTAAATAATAGATCTCATTCATCTACCCTTTCCATGGAGTCGATGGTTAGTCATAGCTATTACCTTGACACCAAAGGAGTTGATCATTTCAATTACTATCATAAATCATATTTATATGAACTAGCAAAACATTTTTGGGTGACAACATCACTTGCATTGGACACGTTGCCAAGTTTTCTAACTTATCTCCATTTACCTTCATAATCAGCCTTTGAGATTGAACTGTTGAGGTGTTAAATGACGTTACTGAAACATCTCTAATTTTATGTTGTCAAAACCTGCATGGGTTTGCTTTGCAATTTTGATGTGATTCATCCATGTATGATGTTGTTATGCTTTTGTCCTAATTCCTATGCATTTCTGATAGTTGTGGTTTTGATTAAAATTTAATGACAGTGCTAAGCTTATTGATATTTATCGCACCAAGCACAACATTAGTGCATCAACTGGCTTAAGTGATCCAGCTGTTGCCACTGGAATTTCTGACCTAATGTATGAATCAAAGCCGGCCCCTGTTGAGTCTGATGCGCTTGATGATGACCTAGTAAATGCTTGGGCAGCAAACCTAGGTGATGATGGTTTATTGGGAAATAGCGCACCTGCAATGAGTAGGGTAAGAAATTTTCTTTCTTTCAATATGTATTTGGAGTTGAGCTAAATGACATGGAGAATGTTAAACTCAATCTTTTTCACAACATAAATAAGTGTTGGTGATCTGTAAATATCAACCATAAAATGTTTCCAAACTCCAGTAACTTGAAACTGAAATAAGTTCTCCTAAGCCACATCAGGGAACCCTTCTTCTGAATGAAGCATGAAATCAAAAGCCTCTAAAAATTCTTATTCATTGGGCTCCTTGGCTGGAGTCCAATGGTGTTCTATTTGATTTATAGTATTAGCAAAGTCTGGCTTTGATCATATATAATGCTGGTAATATTTTTTGTGTTGAACAGGCCTTGCCAAGTTCTAGTTTAATCTTTTGAATCAGAGCCCCAGCATAATGTGCTAGTCATCTCTTACTCCTGTTGTTGGCTCATTGTTATTTCATCTGTTCCACTGGGGTAATTTGTTGCTCAAGAATATTGTGGTGAAAGAAAATTGTTTTGGCAACCTCCCTTAAAAAATTAAAATGGCAAAACCAATTCCAAATTGAAGCAGCTCATGAATCTATGTTAATGATTTGTATGGTAATGGAAAGTGAATGCTCAAATTGTTTGATATGATGGCCTGGATTGATTTGTGCAACTTTTTATTTGAGTTTCTGTACTCCATGCTAGGTCAATGAATTTCTCGCTGGTATGGGAACTGAAGCTCCGGATGTTGAAGAGGAAAATATAATATCTAGACCTTCAGTCAGCTATGATGATATGTGGGCAAAGACACTTTTGGAGTCTTCAGAGTTGGAGGTCTGAGTTTTGCTATTGTGTTTACCTTGTTTGAAATGGCATACATTACATCTGGAGCTTGGGGTTTGTATTTATGACCAATGTGGTCCTTGAAAAGTGATTTAGCCAGTCCTTTGAATTTGCAGGAAGACGTGAGGTCATCTGGGTCCTCATCCCCAGACTCAATAGGGTCAGTTGAAACTTCTATATCGTCCCACTTTGGTGGAATGAACTACCCATCACTGTTCAGTTCTCGGCCCACCAGTTATGGAGCATCACAAATATCGGTAAATGTTTGAAAGAATTTGCTGAACTAACCTAAATTATTGCCATTTCAATAGAAGTAAATAAGAAACTTTTCTTGTTTTGCGAGATTGTCAATGCATCACTTTCATCTGCAATGTTGATTGGTAATGCTGCGCCAATTTTTTTTTTTTTTTTTGAAGCATAATGCCTGGGCCCCTTCTTTTACAAGTCATGGGCTCATTCCATTTGTGGGTGTACTCCATGCTGTTATTTGCAAATAAAACTGCTGATAATTGTCGTTAATAAATATCATTCCTGATTGCTCCATGTAGTGGTAATTTGTGAGTTTGACTAATGAAGCATTCTGGCAACATGATTCAGTGTAACCTACTTCCACATATTATGGGTGTAAGGTCTCTTATAAAGAGAGAAAAGAAGCTCGTTGATTAAAACACTTCTTATATTTAGTTCTCTTGCTCTTTCATTGTCTTATTTTGATTGCTTGATGTATAATCCATTTGATGATGGTTGAAGAAAATTGAGTCCTCCAAAGCATTTGACTCGGTGCCTCAGATCCCTTTGTTTGCTTATCTGTGTGTTTCTTAATGCACATCAATTGTTCATAACAGGAGAGGTCAGGTGGAAGCAGGTATAGCGGTCCCTCATCCTTTTATGAGGGTGCAGGTTCTCCGGTGAGGGTCTTGGCCTCTTTTTCACTAACTGTTATGCATTTAAATCAGCTGTGGCCCTAATTCCCAACCCTTTTCAGATTAGGGAAGAGCCCCCGCCGTACACGTCACCTGACAGGTCATTTGAAAACCCCTTGGCTGGGCATGGGTCCCGGAGTTTTGAGTCACAGGAATCAGGACGAGCATCATCTGCAAATCCACAATATGGCTCTGCACTCTATGACTTCAGTGCGGGTGGAGATGATGAGGTTAGTTAACTTTCTGGTCTTTGTAACTAGAAGGCTGGTTCCTGATCCAAGAAGGCAAGACCTTCTGATGTTTCAGCATGATTTTTTCTCGATTCTTTCTCTTCCTGTGGAAATTGAAATCAAGGGTATATGCATTAGACGATAAGCAGAATAATTTTTATTTTAGTGGAAACACAGGTGTGATCAATTATGAATTTTCTTGCAGTTGAGTTTAACAGCAGGAGAAGAGCTTGAAATTGAGTACGAAGTTGATGGATGGTTTTATGTAAGTATACATACATGAATCGCTGAAACTTGAACGAGGAAGGCTCCTTTTTGAACCTTTTCTAGTTGCTGTAATTAGTTAGAAATCACGTTTTCTTGGTTGGTCATGGTTGAATCAAAAAATGTAAAATGGCCGATCTCCTGCCAACCCAGTTGATTGATGGGGTGGGTGGTTGAGATCTCTTGGTGGGTGGTTAGCCTCCCCAAGAAAGGGTTGATCTCTTTGGTCATATGCGGCTAATCAAATGTGCTTTTATTCAACGCTCATTCCAGGTCAAGAAGAAACGCCCTGGCAGGGATGGCAAAATGGCCGGACTAGTTCCTGTACTGTATGTCAATCAAAGTTGAGGCAGCCGAATCTTCGAAGCAATCGATTCCCACATGCGCTGAGCTGCTGCCACCTTATTCTTTCCAATTCATGATTACTCGGAGACACCTCTTACCGGATTTTCACTTGGCGTGCTGGAGGAGCTCCATACAAGTTGTTGCTTATTTTTACTTGAATCTTTCCTTCTACATTCCCTCTGTAGAATGCGAGTTTCTCTCACCCGATTTTTCAGAGCAGAGTTTTGATGGCTTGTTTTCTGTTATCTGTAATTATTGTATGTCTCATCCTCATGTTTCTGCATTTTAGGCTTGTAGAACATTAAATCCAAATAAATGACGTGTGATTTCTGGGCACCTCATGTCCACATTAAAAACGACGAGCGGATACAATAAAAAGTAATCGATAAACTATAAAATCTAATACGAACAAATCTAAATTAGAGAGAATTGAACAAAAACATCCAGCATAGTTTGAGAATCCAGGAACAACAGCATCTAAAAGATCCAATAACCGCAAAAGCTAAAAGATCTTGCAAGGTTAATGTTATATAAGAAAAGAACACTATTCCATGATTTAAAATACAGAATTGTTGTGCTAGAAAGTCGGTGATGTTCCTGTAGCTAAGATCTGAGCTAAGGCAAGAGTACATGCCGAAGCTAAAGCATTGTTTTTACTATCAGATTTGTTCGAATAAAGCCTAGTATTTTAAACCAGCATCTTCATGTATCTGCATTTTAGGCCTGTATAACATTTTGAAGCTGCGCTTCCTTTCTTTTGAGGGAGACACCTCGTCAGTCACGTGTTAGGGCATCTCCAATGAGAAAGCTGTGTGGAGAACAGAAAACAAATGGCTCTTTATCTATTGATCCTGGGTTTTCAAGAGGAGGATAGTTATATGAGATGTTAAGATTCTTCTTATCAAATAAAAAGCCATTTCAAGGAATTAAAGTCATGAAATGAATGAGGATTTTAACTTTTTTCTCCCTAATCTTCAACCCACTTTTATCCTTATATATAAAATACATGGATTTAATTCTCTATTGGAGTATCACATGAGAGAGAAAAGGCTAAATTACACTATTTAAAACAAAATGCCATGATGATCATCATTTGGTTCTTTTGGGCAAGTTTTGTATTTTATTTTGTTTTTCCCTAGATGAACAGTGGATTTAAAAAATCTCATTGAGCTGATGAAATTACGGTTTAGTGTTCAACATAAGAAGCCCTCCAAGGAGCGTGAGGTGAGATTCTTGCCATATATATAATTATCTTTACAATTAAAAATTCATACTGAAAGCAACCACAGTTGACGATGGTTTAATTGTGCTTATGAACTTGATTTATGCTTTCCCGGTGAGTACCTCACTCCTGTCTGTTTCTTCAGCACTTTCTTTGTCATCCTACTAAACTGAATTTTTTTTTTTTAAAAAAAAAGACATTGTTAAGATAAAATTTTAGAGAAATGATACTGTTTTATTATTTATTTATTTGTTTTGTTTTGTTTTGAAGAAATAATATAGTTTAACACAACTACTGTTATTTTGAGTGATGATTTTAATATATATAATTGTTATTTTGAATCATGGTTTTAATCAAAACCATTATTCGTAATAAAAATTCCATCCCTTGATTATATACCTGACTGAGGAGGAAGCTCAAAAAGGCCGCTGAGAGACTGCATGCACGGCAAGGTATGTTCTACGTGTCATTCTCTTAGGAAATTGTGTATGCTAGAGAAAAGTTGTCACGTGTTGATAAAAACAACATTTAATGGTTTGGTTTTGTGCCCAGAAAAAATAATTAAACTGAAACGTACTAATTAATTTTGATGAATAAGAATCGGACCAAACTGAAAATAGGTTCAAATTTTTTTTGTATAAACATGGGAAACCTAGTGGGCTTTTTAATCAAATTGTTTTATTAATTAGTTTTTTAATAAATAAAAAAACAGCCATATTAAGCTAATTCATTAGTCTATTCGTTACACATTAAAAAAAAAAAAAAAAAAAACTCCTTACTTGTCCAAGTATGTTTTCATACCCATCAATAACCTCATAATCTTCATAGAAGAAATTAAAAATATACGCTTTTAATTATTTCAAGTTTATTTTCTAAACATATATAGTTGCATACACAACCTAATTTAATAGGAATCCCAATTTAATAAGAACTCATATAATTATATAATTGTATTTTGCACTATTTGCATTAACCTAATTTAATAGGAATCTAATTTTTCCTACCCAATCAATATAATGCACTATACATACAAGATGCATGATCAACTTTTGACACCTTAAATTAACAAAGATATTCACATTTAAAAAATTAAAATAAACGAATGGATGCATTAACAACAAACAACAAACTATCAAATCTAATACAAATAAATCCAAATTAGAGAAAATTGAACAAAAACTTCCAGCATAGTATGAAAATCCAGCAACAGCAGCATTTTAAAGATCCAGCAATAGCAAAAGCTAAAAGATCCTGCAAGGTTAATGCTATAAAAAAACACTAACAAATTAGAGTTCGGCTAGGAAAAGAATTAAAATGCAACATTTAAAAAAATATTGTGCTTGAAAGTTGGAATTATTCCTGTTGCTAGGATATGAGCTAAGGCAAGAATACCTATCGGAGCTAAAACATTATTTTTAATATTAGATTTGTCCACCTAAAGCTTAGTAAATATTTTAAATTAACATCTTTTTCTAAATCCTTTCTAAAAGGCCAAACCCCCCACCTAATTCATATGACAACAACATAAAGAATTTCAAGGATCAAATTGAACGAGTAATATTCATGTGCTGAATTATTTAATTGTATTTTGAAAAATTAAGAAGTTCGTCATTAATATATTTATTTTGACTTATTTGGCCCAAAAAAATTGAAAAAACCAAACTCAAATCTCTTGTGATCTATTTCATTTCTTCTAATTTTAAACCAAAATCTCACTAAAACTCTGCAACTGTAATGTGTATAATAATAAAAATATAATATAATATATTATGATTTCTATGCAGGCTTCTCTTTTTAATGAATGAACATATTCCAAAACCATTAAAAAGTATAAAACATCCACATTACAAGATTTAACAGTTTTACCGATGGAGTTTTTCTGTCGATGTAAGACACATATTCCGTCGTTAATTAATTTATCAATAAATCACCGATGAATTATTTCCATCAGTGAATCTTTCATCGGTAACTTTTTATCTATTGATAAATCCGTTGGTAATAAAAAAATATTATTACCGATGGATTTACTGACAGAATAGACGCGTCGGTAATAATATTTTTTTTTTATTACCTACGGATTTACAGGCAGACATATTGATGGAATTTTCGTTGGTAATTCCGTCGGTAATTATATAAAAATATTTTAAAAAAAATCATTTTATAAAATTATAAAATAATAAATTAACATAAATCAACACTCTATAATATATACTCAAAATGCTTGGAAAAAAGAATAAGAAAATCAACTCAAACAAATTTGCAACAGATAAATAAAATGAAAAACTAAATTCAACTAAAAAATCATATGAAAAAAATGAAGTTGCAATTGCTAAAAATTTAAAAATTTCTATAAATAAATCAACTAAAAATTGATCTCATATGAAGAAAAAAATCTCACAACAACATTTATACAATTATTAAGAACAAAAACAATTAAAAATAAAAAAAATATATAGTGAAAAAAATCATGAAAAAAGAAGAAAAAAAAAATCTTACCATAATGTAGTTGCAAGTGAAGTTAAGGAGAGAATTTTTTTTATTGTAAAGCATATTAATTAAAAAAAAAACTAAGAGGATCAAAGAAGAAAGAAGAAGAAGACATACCCAAGCATGGAGAAAAAAAAAATGAGATGAGGAGAGAAAAGAAGAGAAAGAAGTAGATATTGATATTTTTTACATATAGTGAATAAGAAAAAGAAGAAGAAGAAGAAGAAGAAGTAGAAGAAGAAGAAATGAGTCTATCTCTTATGAAATAAGGGGATCTAGAATTTTTATTGGAGCGCATTAGCAACGGATTTACCGATAAATAATTGAATATTAATATTTTTTAATTATTCCATCGGTAATTCTGTCGATACTATTTAATTTAAATTTTTAATTTCGTAAAAAGGTTTCAGAAACTGCCAACAATTACCAATGATTTTTCAATCCGTTAGTGATTCCGTCTGTAATTTTTAAATAAAAATTTTAAATTAATTGAATTTTTTCAGAAAATCATCAAATAACACCGATGATTTTTCAATCCGTCGGTGATTTTATCCATAAAAAACAATAATTACCAATGTAATTGGAAAGTGAACAGTTTTGGAGCTCTCTGGAAAGTGCCAATGGAATTTTTCGTCTGTGATTCCCTTTGTAATTGACATGATGAACAGTGTTCATAGTTTACCAATAAATTTACCGACGGATTTTATTCCGTTGGTAAATCATCATTTTTTTTGCTTTATTTTAATTTTTTTCCCACTGTAATTTCCTCGGTATATACCGAGGAAATATTTCCATTGGTAAAATCTCTCGAAAATTTACCAACAAAAATATTCCCTCAGTATTTTCGTTTATATTTATCGATTTTCTGGTAGTGTCATCACAACAAAGTTAAATAAAAAAATAAGTAACAAGAAATGTAGGCTTCTTTTTTTAATGAATAAACATATTCCAAAACCATAAAAAAAGTATAAAACATCCATCACAACAAAGTTAAATAAAAATAAGTAAGTAAGTAGATTCAATAATATATCAAGATTTTTTTTTTAATGAATGAACATCTTCCAAAACCATAAAAATCAAGAAGTATAAAACATCCATCACAACAAAGTTAAAAAAAAATAAGTAAGTAGATTCAATTACAAAACACCAAAATCCCCATATTTTTAAAAATCTATTTTTTATTTAATTATATGATAATTAAGATAGATATTTGTAGAAAATGCAATGTTTAAAATTCTATAGGAAAAATGTATTTTTTCGGATGTGAATAACTATCAAAGACACCATCACCATCGAAGAGAAATTAAGTGTTTGTTTTATAATTTAAAGTAAGTTTAAAATTATTAAATTAATGTTTAACTATGCTTTTATCGCATTTAGACCTGAAAACATCATGGTTGTAAAATCTAACTTGCAAGATTAAAATTAAAAAAATTAAATCAATCCAACTTCATTTCAATAAAAAAAAAATTGAGTTGAGAACTACGTTTTTAATTGGATCAATTGAGTTTTTTCTTTCTTTTATTTTTTTTAATCTGAATAAGTTTAGGTTTCTTGTTAACCTGCCAGATGAATTCAGGTTTTACAATTATTTAAGACAATTTATATTTAATGTATAATAAGCTTG